ATCCGCTGAAATTAAACCGTTTGAAAGACTTCGGGTGCTGAGCTTAGAGAGGACTATGGAAGAACTCCTTGTGCAATACTATAAGTACCTTAATGAGGAGAGGAACTTTTGCCCCAGCCAGAAAAGGGTGAGGGGACATCGGGCGGGTGAACCAAATTTAATATACGAAAATCCTGTTCCGATGATGTCAAGTCCATTATTGCACAAGGAGTTCTCGTAATGCACCGCCGGAATTCGAAATAAACTGTATATGAAATAAGAACATGTGACAAAATCAGCTTACCCGAACAGCAAAACGAATCCCCAGAACTCCAGAATGATACCAAAAAGAGGCCAACCAAACAAGACAATGAAAATACCTAAACGCTCAGACATATAAATGTCGAATAAGTAACTGTGAACAAAACTGCTATCGAATTGCTGGGACATTTTTCGTCTGACCAGGAAAGGTCAACAGGTCAGCCTGGCCATTTCCAATGAGGTGCACACCGTTGTGCGCGTCTTGAGACGGTGAACTCAAATCTGTCTTCAGAATTTGCGGAACGATTCTCTGAACGGAGTTATGGAGGGTTTTCTCCCTGCAAGGTTGTTTTACATGCTATCGCAAGGAAACGTGCAAGCGTCTTTACATCTTTCCCGGCTGGTCGTCTATTCTGCTTTTTCCAAAACATGGCCGACAAAGCTTCAACAGCTCTGCTCGCCTGCACTACCCTGTAAGGGAACCTGCGATCAGATTTTTTAGATGTGTAGACCATTGTGGCCTGAAAGAGTCCTTGTGCTTGTCCCCCTCAAAACACATGTCACAATGGTTTTTGCAATGAAATACCATGTTCAGCGGGTCAAATTACCCCTGGGGACAAGTTTCTAGCCAAATCTGATTTTCGACCTCACTTGGAAAATGTGGGCTATTCCATGGGTAATTAGCAGCAGATTGGAGCTCACCTACCATCGATGACTGGTCTCGGGATGGAATTTTCTCCTGGTAATCAGGAAAATGATGCAGACGGCACGAGCCAGGTATTGTTCTTTGCGAGAAGGCATGATTGAAGAGTTATTTCAGCTCAAAGACCAGTCATCACCAGTATGCTAGTCGCAGTATCGTGTTGGCTACCAGTCAGCCATGACTAACCTTACCCCAATTTTTTCGAAGCTGAGTCAGAACCTCAGATTTCGCTAAGGTGCCGTCTCTAGGGTTATTTGACCCCCTGAACACGAATATGATACCTATTTTGCGCGGAAAGCGCCATGAGTCGCGCTACTAGTGCTAACGCCTGAAAGAAGAAAAACAGTAAAAAAACCTCCATAACTCCGCTCAGAGAATCGTTCCGCAAATTTTGAAGGTAGTTTCGAGTTCATTGTGTCAAGACGAGTACAATGATGTGCACTCATTGCAAATGGCCAGGCTGACCTGTTGACCTTTCCTGGTGAAATCGATTAGGGGGTGTTTCAGCGCAGATTATCGAGTATGTTCAATACCACGACAATGGGCGCCAGGCGGTCGAGGATTCTTGTCCAAGCCATGGAGAAGTAAGGCCGTGGTGAGTGAACAAACTATTTGGAGGGAAAGATGTTCTCTCAACCTTCTGCTTATTTCAGCGTTATTGTTCGGGCTTAAGTGATGTGATGGCAAAAGGTCCGCTTTCCGCGAATAGGTGAATATATCCCGATCGGCTCCCACCCAGAACAACCAGGCGCTACGATTTCGTAATGGCAGATAGAATTACAAGCCGCCATCTCCCATTTGATATAGCGGAAGCTTTACCCCTTATAGGCCCAGACCCAGAGGCTCAGTGTAACTGCTACAGGCTTAAATTTTTCTAGCTCTAAAAGCTAAGTATGGAGCGCAGCGTGTTCCCTCATTATATAAAAGTCACAGTAAATGCAGGCTAGCCTTAGAAACAATATTATTCTGTGAAGTAACTGACCTCCAAAGAAAAGAATGCTTCCTTTCAGCTTGCGAACTTCGAAGAAGAACACAAGTGTTCGATGAATGCCGATTACAAACGTTATTCCAACGATGAAGAGAAGCTGCAAACATTTGATGCTGAGGGAGAAATACTAAACTTTACTAGTACATCTGACTGCTTTTCCAGGAAGGTGCGGCATTTTGGTACAATAGAGAATTTTGTAAAAAAAAAAAGGGGGGGGGGGTAGAAAATTCAGTTCCAAATCTACGGAGGAGTTTTTGGCTGAACCAAAATCTTCGTGGAAAAAGGGTCCACACTGACCCCGCTTTGCAAGGCCCATTATATGTCTCCCTCCTTTACTGGAGCATCGCCTGCATTCGCATAAACGCACAAGCACAGGAGTGACAGATTATTTGAGTGTACATAGGTTCCTGCGACGCTATATGCCTTGGGAGGGACCACTTTGTATCGGGAGTAAACCCATGTCACAACTGTTCGTTTGCAACCTCCGGTGAGACAGCTCCATGGTTTAGTCAACGTCAAAACATATTACTATCCACTCAAACACCATGACGTGACTTCGTCGGGTCAGCACAAGTGAGGCTAGGCCTCGTTGGAAGGTGGTCCTCCGAGGCACACGACGCCCCTCCCAGCTTATCGGGGCTACTGGTGCGCAGGTAATGTCCTTGTTAACCCTTTTGGGTTACCTAGACGTACAAAATGCAACTGCTAACATTTCAAAGCGTATCATATTGCCCGCATAACTGGCATGTCGACAGGAGTTCACGAGAATGCCTCCGCTTGCCGACAGGGCAGGTCGGGATTTTCAGCAAGGGAGCCGTATTTGGTCGTACTGCAGGGAGTCGAGGGTAGTGTTCTCCTCTGTGGAGAAATGTTTCTAGTTTCACGTGTGCTGTTCCCCCATCCCTTCTCTCCACGCTCGACGCCAGTTTTTTGTGGGAGAGGTGGACAACGCAGAACAAAAAAATCCGGAAAGTAGCTGGGAGTAGTTGAGAAAATTAGGAAGGCGGTGGAATGGATGGGGAAGGGCTCGCACCAGAGGAACAGTTCTGAGAGGGGGGGGGGGGGCGGCGGCGGCGGGTCGTTCTGACAAAATGTTTCGCCAAAACGACCACAGAAGGTGGCCTGATTGCCCAGGGAACTTGCGTTGCGAAACTACCCACGCACGCCAAAACGCTTTCCGGAGCCTGGGTTTGGGGGATACACAAAATCCTGATAGCACAAACTGCCCAAAACGCCTCGTCTAGAATAGCGATAGCTTTCGCGCTTGCAAAAAGGGTATAAAACAAAAGGAAGTGAAAAACTCACATTTCCAGTAACTAGCAGTGCTGCATCAAGAAACATCAAAATACTAAGAAATATGAAGAACGCACCAAAAGCGGTGAGACCGAACACCAATTTCTGAACGCATCAGCAGGCATAGACAATCGAATAAAAGAGAACCAAAGAAAAGGTATACAAAGATAAAAAGTAAAGTAACTTACGCTTGGTACTGCTAACTTCAAAGTTCATCATTTTGTTGATGAATGAAGATTTTGACGACGACAACCGCTCGAGAACTCCTTCAGAATCGTATTAAGGACGTACTTCAATTCTAAAAAGAATTCGAGGGATCTTTATTCAGAAAGACAAATTAGGCTACTTTCACAATAGTAATACAGTGTTTTGTTTACAAAAGAGCGACAATTATGCACGAAATTCCTAGCTCTCAAAATCCGGTACCAGGAAAAAACTGAGGAGTTCTATATA